AAATATACGTAAACAATATTCAGAATGTTATTATTTTATTTACCAAACATGTTTACATTCACTTTTAAGATATATCTTTATACATATATTATATATATATGTATACATTTATATGTATGTGCACGCGTGTATCTCTGCGCGCGCGTATAACTCACATATACAGAGTGTTCCATTTTGAATATCAAAATATTTCGAAAAATATTAAAGATATGGAAAAATGTTTCAGTCTAAAGTTGTATAATGTAAAGAGAGTCAAATAATAGTAAAACCAAATTTCGAAAAAACTTATTTTTTATATATGAATGTTTTTAGATGAATGTTATAATCTTAAATTATGAATGAAATTGTTCGAATTTGTATAATTCTATCAATTCTGTATGTCTATATAAGATTGCATATAAATGCTAAAATAAAGATATCGAAAAATCAATAGTTTACAAGATATTTTATATATCATTCTGACAAATTTTAAGGTAAAGTATAAAAAATGTCTTATAAACTACTAAATTTTTGATAATCGCATCTCAATATTTTTAAGTAAAGAATAATTAAAGTAATTATATTTTTAAAGAACCATACAATTCTATTATAAAAATGATCATAATCTTTATACGGCTATGAAAAATCGAATTTTTTTTCGAAAATTGATTATTAATAATAAATATATAAATTCATTATACCGCATATTTTAGATCATAAAGCTTTTGTATGAAATATTTTTTCATATTTTTTATATTATTATATTTTTGAAATATTGTTACAATCGACAGAGATCGTCTGATAAACGCGGCTAAAGGTATGTTAATGACTGCGTAGATTAAACGGGCGCCCTTGTGATTAAAGGAAATACGCCGGAAAGAAAGCATCACTTCATCCATCCATCTTGTCTTTTTCGCGTTCTTTCGTTCGTTTTTTGTAACGACATTATATATTCAATAAAATTTCTTGTGTGGAATCGAGTCTCTAGTTCTATTCGAAACAAATATTTTGACGTGAAAATTAAAATGGAATACCCTGTATATTATAATATTATATAAAAAATACTCTTACGCAGTAACGAATATATGATTAGTGTGATCCATAATATCTTGCCCAATATAATTGGCAATAAACATGTATAAAATACTGGATATTACGAATATAAGAGGAAATAGAAAGTCATTGACATTATCCTCAGATATATCAATCTGAAAAATCTAATATACGAATTTTATTTAAATATTGTTTGTACATGTGATAACAGAATGCACTATTCTACTAAATGTTAATCCTAAGTTGTATAATGAAATATGCTAAGTTTAAATATTTAAAAAATTTTATTAATATAAATATTATTAATGATTATAAAATAAAACTTATATGTAAAATAAAATAAAACTTTAATTTGAAGGAAAATTCCTGAACAGCATATCTTCTATAATAGTAAATAATAAATTTGTAAATGTTATATTATGGAAATGTACAAATCTTTTTAGAAGTCTAAAACTTACTCGGAAAAGATTGAGGCTCAAACAGATTACTCCAACTGTGATTAAGCAGAATAACATTATCTCAAATTTAGATATCATCAGTTTAGATAATCTTCAAGAACAAATAAAAATTATTGCATTATTTATACATATATGAATATTACACTATATAAATACTAACCTCATAGCTTGTCGATGAATATCAATGGCATATATCATTCCTTTAAATATCAAATTTTCATTCTTTAAGTTATTATTTTGGAACATATTTATTCTCATTACGCGTTCAATACGATAACTATAAAAAATACATTTATCATATAACTTATTTCTTTTACTTTTTAAAAGTAAAATCTGTAGATTTATTCAAGATAATTATACACATTTGTTTATAATTAGAATTTTTGTTGATTTGTCTTGTGTATACCTTGAGATGCTAAGCATTCCACAAATATGTTGTAAATATGCTACACCCATCGCTCCTATTGCTATTATCGCGATATGTCCTATGCTAAAAGCTACATATGTATGCAACACGATTAAATAAAAATGTTTTTCTTGATCGATAAAATATTCCGTTGTAATAAGTAGATTACGAGACTGAGTTATGTTTTTCAATAAAGTGTTGCCAATGATACTCGTCCAAAATTGGGCAACAATTAATATAGTTACGCAACAAGCACAAAGTACTAGAAAAAATTAAAAAAGATTATCGTACAAATTTCATATAAAAATATTGAATTGCTCTTTGCGTCTGGAATAGAAAGTGTACTAATATACAATAAGAAATTTATATTACTTGTAAAAACAACCGTGTACCATTTGGCATTGTAGCTATACTTTTCTATAATAACGTTTTCATATTCATCTTTTAGATCGTTGTATATATACTGAAGTTCCGTCAGTAAATACTTCATCTGTTAGTTCAACAATTCAGTTTATACATTTGGTAAAAATTTTCTAACTATAAAAATATATTTTTTAATAATATCTATTCACAAACGGAACGTAACCATCTGTCATAATCAACTTACATTTTTGATGTTAATAGCAAATGTGATATATTTTATTATACATATAATAAAGAAAAATACGTTCGAAAAAATCTTAATGACGAGGTCAGAAGTATGCTTGATAGTTAAAAATGCTGTTAACTAAAAGCAATAGTTGTATTATCAAGTTTGTATTAAAATATAATTTTTTTGGATATATATTATAATTTTATGCCATTGATAATTTTATACCATCAAAGTTATTAACTTTTAAATATATAACATAGATAGAGGCCTTATGTAAATAATTACAATATATGTATAATAATAATCATTTTTAAAGAAATAAATTATGATATATGTGTTAATAAATGTGTTAACAAATAATGGCTATCAATTAATTGTTACTTGTTTTATAATGATAATATTAAAGTATTACCTTACTTGAAATAAAATACAGCTTATTAAAACACTGAGCAGAAAGATGAATTGAAGACATACAAGTTTTGATTGTTTGTATGGCCACAATCCTATAGCGAGCAGAAGAGTCTTATTAAGACTAAAATATTCGGTCTCACTGCAAATCATTTCTCTATGAGCTCCAAAGTATGACTGCGAAGAAAGAGAATGTGTTTATCCCCTCTTTTTTGCATATATCGATTAAATATCCCATTCTCTCTTCTAACGTCGATTTTATTGTAATTTGCTTAATTTGTTTGTATATTGCAAACAACACATGATACTACTTGAAATTGAAGCACTTGCACTTTAATAGCGTTTCTCGGAATACGATGTACGACTACCTAAGTAATTGATGGAATAAAATGATACTGAAATTTTATTGATGTTCTCTTTATTATAATAAAAAAGAAAAACATTCTTAAGAAACCTACTTGCGCGATAATCTGTGTAAGAAAGTTGCGCAAACCTATTTATACCTTCGACATCTCAATTTTATACGCTTCACATTTGTGCACTTATAAAATACATTTCATTTTTAGGAAAATTACTCTCTTCTTCACTACTTCAGTATCACTACCATTTCAAATTGTTGTTGATACTGATTCGATCGAAGATAATGTAATTGTTTTTTCTAAGTGTAGAAACAGTTTTATTTTTCTGTAATACGTTTTCTGCATAATTCTATATGTAATGTATGGATTAAAAAAACTTAAAAAATTTATAGATATTATTAATATGACATTATGTAATCAATTTGTCAATTTTCTCAGAAATGATACAAAAAAATGGAAATTTTGAAAAAAAAGGACAGTTTCAAAAAGTATTTTAATTATATTATTTTTTCCTAGGGGTCCGGTGGAGATATTTGACTATCATATCTTAAAAAAAATATGAAGGTCATCTTCACTTTTTTAAATGGATCATGTAATTTTTTCACACAACGTGATTCCTCTTATTATTCTGTATAGAAATACTAAAATACAGACGTGGAAAAATTAATAATTTACAAGATACTTTATAATTTATTCTGGAAATTTCTGTATAAAATGAAATATTCTCCTTCTAGCGTAAATTTTAATATAAATTTTGTAATTTACTATGAGTTATGCGAATGCATCGAAACACGATTGAACAAATTTCTCAGAGCTATGAATATTTACTTGATTCATTTGTCGATAGCAATTTAAAGGTTATCATTTGTCAGTCTTTCTCATAAGATTCGTGTATTTACAAAAAGTTCACGCAAGTGCATTTCTTTGTTTTTAGTGTCGAAATTTTATTCTTAAGCGGCTACACTTACTGACAGAAACATTCTTCAACTTTACCTTTTTGGATACTGGAACTTCTAAAATTATAATTTAAAAATAATTAAAATTAGTTAAATACGCAATAATCAATAATTATATAATTAAAATTGGATAAATACTCAACTTTAATTTCACATTAGCACGATAAACAATTTTAATAAATATTATTTTACCTTTCTTATAGATAAATTTCTAATATGTTTCACTCATGTACCAATTAATTGCACAGCACAGCGTAATATTCTTATTCTTTTTATGTTTTTGTTTTATTATATGTTTATCAGAATCTCTAATTTAACATATTTGTTTATAAAAGTTGATATGAAATAAAATATATAATATATAATAACTATTTAATGTTTAACAGCAACGTGCATAAAAAATCGTACTTGAAGTAAAAGTAAAATAAATACATATGCATTTTTTATTTTATTTAAAGTATTGCAAAAAATGCACAAATTTAATGCACTACAAGAATTGGATATACTAGTATCTTAATTTTAATAATTTTATTCTGCTATGTCTTCTTTAATAATTTATTATAAATGTGACGCTGTACAAGATTTTCCAAAAATTATTTTTTTATTTTTTAAGCTGATTACTATTGCATTACTTATATTTTTACAGGTTATTGAATCTATAATAATCTATAATAACTTCGTTATCGCGTAGAATATAATAGGTACATGACAGTAAGTACATAAAGTAAGATACTTAATCTTCTGCAATTAAAGTTTTTCTCTTTCTAATAAGATACTTTTGAAATATTTTATCGTTTAGCTCAATATATGATACATTTATTTTTTAAATTATAATCTGCATGATTAATATTTTCAATAAGAATTAATCTTTACAATACAAGGTACAATTTGGTGCCTTATCCGTCCAAACATGAATCACCGGAATCCGTCTGTCTTTTTCACTTATTCAGAAAGTTCGGAAAATCTCGAAAAGTTTATCAACAATTTTAAAAACGGAGTTACTTTTGCTTACATGTATTATTGCCTACAGTTCGATTGCCTACATGTATTAATGCTTATAGCTACAAGCACTTTTGCGCACAAATTATAAAATAAAATTAAAGTTAAGTAAGTAAATAATTTGTGTTGGTAAATATTAACAACTACGGAAGCAACTCTGTTAAGAATGAATGTTCATAATGATACTCTCAAAAACATGTGCAACAGTATAATTATGGAAGTTGTGCGCCCCTTTGCAGGGGAAGAGATGGGGCGAGAGTCGTTTCGCATGGATAGTCGTAACCCATGTGCAACAGTATAATTATAGAAATTGTGCTCCCCTTTGCAGGGGGAAGATGAGAGTCTTCTCGAGAGAGTCGTTTCGAGTAGAAACATGGAAAATAGTATTTAAAGACAAATAAAATGGCAATAGAGTTATAGGCAATAATACATGTAGGCAAAAATTTATAAGTAACTATGTATCCCACCATGTATCCCACTCTGGGATATACGGCAAAAATGCAAGGGTTTCAGAAAGTTCATTTTTTAATATTTCGGATTTCTATTTTTTTCATAGTAGTAGACAATACAAAGTTTTTACTGATATAGTTCGTTTACTTTAAACATAATAAATAATATTTAATAAATTAAGTTTTTGATGCGACGTATATACCGGAGTTGATCCTACATGACGGATGCTCTAACGTGACATTAGGCCTGGCAAGATGTCATTCTCGCACGGAATGCAAGAGATCCGGGTTCGACTCCCGGCCAAGGCAATATATTTTTTCGCAATAAGTTTATTACAGTTCTTTAAGATTAATTTGGGGAATTTTGGGGGGATTATTAACATTTCAGATCAATTGCGTTAATGTCGACAACCATATCGACACGTAATTATAATTTCTGAAATTAATTCATTCGTTTGAAAAATATATTAGGTGTTGGAATTAATTCGTAGCGTTTTACAAGTGATGGGAAGTACTTTCATTAATGTATTTTTTAATGCTCATGTGAAATAAATAACATTCTTTCATTAAAAAACGCTACGAATTAATTCCAACACCTAATATATATTAGTTCAACATCTTAATATTTAGACCGTAGTGGCGCTTCGGATTTAAAGTAATGTTATTTAACATAAACGGTCTTGTTTCCTATCTTATTGTTAATTCTTTTTGTTTACGGTTACTTTTCCAGAATTTTCTTATGACTTTGTTAATTCTTGATAAAAATGACTCACAGCGTATTACACAGAAAGAAGAAATTTTTTGTTAAGGAATTATAAGAATATTGTAAGATTATGTACAAATTTTTAATTTAGAACGATATTTATATTATTGTAAGATTGCATTGAAAATGACTCGATTGGAGTTGAAACGTTTTTTTTATTTTATTTTATTTTAATTGTTTTGTATTAGTTTTGCTTATTTAAATTATAATTCTTTTATACGTTATTGGCTCTTTGCCCTTCTTTTATACTATCTTTTGTTTATTAGTACAGAGCCTTTTTTATTACTTTTAATATAACATATTAGGTGTAGTAAAAAGAAATCCATTATTTTTTCAATAAATAGTTTTAGTAATCTGTATCACGTGTAGACGAGATACAGATGACTAAAGCCATTTATTGGAAAAACAATGGATTTCTTTTTACTACACCTAATATATAAATAAGTATTTTACTTTATATTATACAATTTTAATTTTAATATTAAACAAAAGTATTTTATTGTAAATAGAATGTACAATAATAT